TATATATTCTTAGAGTCAAGGTCTTGCTATCTTGCACAGGCTGGTCTCCAACTCCTGGACTTAAGCAATCCTTCTGCCTTGGCCTCCCAAAGTTCTGGGATTACAGGCGTGACCTGCTATCTTGCCTCTACATACTTGTTTTGTTTCACTGCTTTGGTTTCTTCTTTAGAACTCCTGTTATGTATGCACTGGATCTTCTTCTTCCTTCTACATCTATCACTATTTCTCTGATCCCTTTAACTTTTCCTTCATTTCCTTTAGATTTAAAAACAAAAATCTATTTTCCTTAAGGCACTACCCATTGTGATCATTTGCTCTAAAGTTTATGTTTTGTCTTCATTTGTTAATAATTTCTTTTATTTATATTTCTTTCCAATATTGTGTCTACTTTCTTTTCAAATCTTTCTTTTAAGCAATTACCGTATTTTTTAGTTTTTCTAATTCTAATTTAAGTGTTCTTGCATGACTTGTATCAATTCAGTGTAGGATCTAGGGCTGAGCTTCCCTAGTCATTGGTTCAAGGTTCAGTACCCAGAGAGCTTATCAACATCTGTCCCCAAGATGGATTAGCCTCCTGAAGCTCCAGCTGGCAGCTAGTTCACATTTCAAATTTTTGTTTTTTTAATGAAGGAAGAGGTCTTCAGAGTCCTGCTCCTTGTGAGACCAGCAATAACTTGAAAAACGTCTGTCCTATAAAGGATATAGTTGTTATAAAGCGGAAAGATCTCTTTGGGAGACTAATCAGCCATGTCAGAAGTAAAAGTCAAGGACTCTTTCTTTCTTTGACAAGTCAAATAATGTTGTTTAAATAAGCATTGCTGTTGACTGTTCTGGATCAGTTTTCTCTGGCACGTAGTACACCCTTTTAACAAAATATATTTTACAGAAATAAAATAAGATTTATTAAGTGTTAGCTTTAAACATGTTCTTCCCGGCCGGATGCGGTGGCTCACACCTGTAATCCTACCACTCTGGGATGCCGAGGTGGGTGGATTGCTCAAGGTCAGGAGTTCGAGACCAGCCTGAGCAAGAGCGAGACCCCGTCTCTACTAAAAATAAGAAAGAAATGATCTGGACAACTAAAATATATAGAAAAAATTAGCCAGGCATGGTGGCGCATGCCTGTAGTTCCAGCTACTAGGGAGGCTGAGGCAGTAGGATCGCTTGAGCCCAGGAGTTTGAGGTTGCTGTGAGCTAGGCTGATGCCACGGCACTCACTCTAGCCCGGCAACAGAGCGAGACTCTGTCTCAAAAAAAAAAATAAATAAATAAATAAAAAAATAAACATGTTCTTCCCGAACACATTCTCTTCATTCTTCTTAACTCTCTATTTCATTTTGGTCACTTTTGTCATTTTTATCCTATATGTCCCTTATTGTGTATGCACTATATTCTTGTTGTTGCTCCTTCCAATTCTGTCATCATTTCTGTGACTAGTTTTTTTCCACTACTTTCCTGTGCTTGGCCTGCTACTCAAGTTTCATATATTTCAGTTTTCTATCTCCTGTTTTTATATTCCTTGCTAATCTCTTCCCTGTGTTTTTATATTTTGGCTTTGTGATTTTTTTTTATAAAGGTAATTAATTGTTCAGTATGATTTTTTAATTCATGGAGAAAAGTTTAGTCTGAACTAATCTGTTCCATGACGGTATTTTTCTGCTGAATGTTCTTTGGTATGTTTTGCTGTTCTTTCCTATGGTTTTCTTATATTTTCACATCAGTGTTGTGTCCGCTCTGTTTTTATTACTCAGGATTTCCTTGGCTAGGCTATTTGAAGAAAGTTTCTTCAGGTAGTAAATTTTTGCTGATGTTTTCTGAAATTGCTAACCCTGCCCGGTTTCTGCTACGATTAATCCTGTTTGATTTCTGTGTGGATCTTAACTACTTTTGGCAATCCTTATTTTTTTGGAGCCTGGGGATCATATCTATGTCCTAGTTTCATTATAATTAGAGTTTACTGGTGGTTTTTCCAGAAATTGCTATCTCACAATGTCACGTTCATACTCGAAGTTGAGTAGATTCTCTTCATGACTATGTTAAATTAGCTCTTTAATAGTATATAAAGTAGAAGTTCTTAACTAATTAAATTAAAATTTAAAACTCCCTCCTCTTTACACAAATATCACTCAGAAGTAGATAAATAGTCTTAGAGACTCTCAATTATATTTTCTGTAGGCTGTATGAAAATGCAGTTTTGTAAATATTTTGTTTCATGATTTTGATAAAAAAGATATTCCCAGGTGTGTTACCTATCCACTACCCAAAATACCAAATATTCTTCACTATCAGAATACCTGACTTATTTCATATACCTAAATAGTTTCCAGAAACACCACCTCTACATACCCATGCTGGAGTAAAGAAGAGAAAACCGACAAACTGACGAAACAAGGTAAATTTCACCACAGAAGGTAAGCAAAGGGGCAAAAAAAGAATACTAATCAAGTGATGGAAAAAGTAATGGAAAAGTGAGTGAAACATTGTGAGTGGAGTTATTTCATGTTATCCTTCTAGTTATCAAGTGCTAAATAACTAACAGAAGAGGTTAGAGCCACTTAGGAGAAAATAATCTGGAAAAGAATTAAGAAGGTCAGCAATAGTTTCCAGCTTTTCTGTGGGGTGACTTACCTTTTCCAAAACTTTGGCAATTCGAGTGCCAATCTGTTCAAGTGACTGCTGTGGATACTGGTCTTTGCCAAGATTTTGCAATACCTGGAATAGGGAGGAAGATGGTAGATTAGAAGAATGAAAATGAGGCAGGATCTAGATGATATTGCTGATGCTGAGTTGGGCACCACACCACAAAAGGAAATTGTTTCTCTGGGATACATGCTGTGGTCCTGTTGGTAAGGTAGTCTGTGGAAGACACATTTAAGGCCGTTTTACCATCCCCTCTCCCATTTACCAAAATTACAGAATATAAAACACATGTATTATAGCAACATTAGAAAATTGAGTAGATAAAGAAAATAAAAACTATTTGTAATCCTGTTACTGGGACATATAAAGTTGTTAATAAACAACTAAACAGTAGTTGTTAATACTTTTAAATATGTCTTCCACATATTTTCCTATGTATACATATATTATTTTTCTCATAAAATATGGGATTACACTATATACTATTACCTATATGTACATATAAAATATCCTTAAAATTTCTTCATACTAATAAGTATATTTCTACTACATCTTTCCTAATGGCACCATTGTGTACTATTTTATATCTACACCAAAATTTATTTAACCTATCCTCTACTGTTGGACATTTGTGACATGTCTTTCTAACTCTTCTAGGTATATTCTTTGCTAGGTCTGCCTTCTTTCCCTTTCTTCTTAAAAATGTCAACAGGAGAATTAACTGCCCCAAATATTTCTCTCAGGGCCTGAAAGAATTAGGTTTGGCTGAAATTCACCTAGATGATGGCCAACTGAGAAAGGCCTTATTTTTTTTTATAAGGCCTGGCCACTTGTGCTTTCTGCTATCAGGTGCATCCTAACTGTGAGGCTAAAAAATACAGGCAGGCTGAACAAAGCTGAGCACTCACCTCTGTTAACTGACTCTCACCCGTGTAGTGCAGGCTGGCTCGGTTGGAAACTCCATGCAAGTGGTCCAGGGTATGCATACTGGTGGGGAGATTGCCATTGCAAAGGGGTTCCATCGCTGGCTGTTGTATCGGGGTGGCAAAGTCTATGTGTTCTGTGATGCTGAAAAATGGAGATTACCACATTAACTATGGAAAATTTGTGTGGGTGGGGATAGAGAGAGCATTAATAATTAGCTGATCATAACTTCAATATGCTATCCCGTGCCTGGGGAGGTTTTAAACCAAGTAAGTTTTCTTCTACGATTTCTTCTTCCAGGGTATAGGTAGTGATGAATACCCACAACTGGTATTATCTTTCACTTTTTCTTTATGCATGGAAGCACACCAGTCACCACAGAAAATGTTACCTAGAGCTGAGACAGTAAATTTTATACAGATATAGCTATACATTGTATTTATGTATGAGATTAAGTATTTCCCTTCATGGCCCCAAAGCAGTCATTTTCCTGCTATATACAAGCTAAATGTTATAGATTATAATATGTACTGATATGACAAATTGGCATTGCCAAGTTTTACTTCCAGCTATTTAAAAAGCTTAACAGTTATTAGGTAAACATTCATTCATTCATTCATTCATTATTTATTCAGAGCCTATTACATGTGCAATACTAGGACTACAATAATTAGCAAAACATACTCAGGCTTGCTGTCATTGTGGTCCTCATCTTGTAATTCACTTATTATAGATGTGGTAAGTTATAAAAGGTAAAAACATGGTGCAATGAGAATACACTACAGGAGGGTATACATTTCCTCTGCACTGATGGAGGAGGGAGGTGGCTAGTGAAGGATTCCCTGAGGATGTATCTGAGACCAGAAGGATGAGTCTGAATTGTGCAGCTGAGAAGCAGCAGTGAGAACAACAATGCAGACAAAGGAGACGCCACATATAAAGGCCCTGACGGGAGAGAGGGCAGAGTTGAAGATGGAAAGACAGGCAGAGAGCAGATCAAGAAGGGCTCTGTGGATGACTTTAAATACCAAAAAGAAGATACTAGAGTGTTTTAAGAATGAGCTGATTTTTATATTTGAAGAATTCTGAGTACGGTGGAGAGAATGTATTGAATAGAGCCAAGAGTCAACGCAGCAAGAGGACCAAGAGGAAGCTACTAACTGAACCTACGTGGATACGGTGGTGCTCTGGTTTAAGGAGGCAGCAATGGAGACAGAGAAAGTAGATGGTTTTGAAAAATACTCAGGGAGTAACAGTGGTAAGAATTGATAATAAGCTTGGATTGAGGGGTAAGGGAAGAGAATTGTTAAAGAAAACGTCCAGGTTTCTCGCCTAAGAACTGCTGTAGCTATTTACTAAAAATAGAAAGAGAAAAACCCAACCAAACAAATGAATTTTTAGATGGAGAATGGGCAAGAAAATTATGAATTTAAATACCTGGAGCTTGGGGTGCCTGAGAGCAATCTAGAAAGGTCAGGGAGATAACTGGAAAAATGAGTTGAGGGCTTTAAAGAAAGGTCTGGTCTAGAGATTCAAATTTGGGAGCTGTCAATACATCAATGGTGACTGAGGTTCTTGGAGTAGATCAGTCTGACTAGGACTGATTATAAAATAAGAAGTCTGAGTATTAATCTTGGGGAACCTAACACTTAAAGGGTAGAAAAGGGGAACCCAACACTTAAAGGGTAGAAAAGCATGAGAATGAGCGCCTCGTGAGGCGAAAGCAGTTATTGAAGAGACTATCTTGCTCAGCATGTATCTCGGTAGGTGCTTGCAAATCTGGATTTGCTCTGGCTCCCCTACAAGTGCATGATGTTCGTGAGAGGCCATGAGTTTTGTGCTACTATAAAGAGGGATCCAGCCTTCAATCCAAACAAATCAAGTTATATGTGACTTCTGGACAGCTTACAAATGCGGGTGAAGGCACTGAGAAGGGGGCACACTCACTGCTTCGCTATAATGGGCTGGGTCCATCTGGGGGCTGTGATCAGCAATGGTCATCCCTTAAACCACTGACTCTAGAAGGGATAACTCTTCCAACAGCTGCTGACAAAGAAGGCACCCTAAAGTCAGCTGAGGCCCAGTGGGTTCACTGGAACACAAATGCCATGAAAGAGGGAGAAGATTAGGATACTCACTCAATGTTTTTTGAAGAAACTGCGAGCCAGGTACTCACAATGGCAGTCAGCTCTACCCAGCGGAGTTTGAGGCACTCATCCGGGCTGGGCCATCCCAGACTCTGGTAGTCACGTTTTTTTCCTGGAAGGAAAGTATGTCATGAATCCACACAATTGCAAAGGAACAGAACCCAACGTGCCTTATGTCCCGGTGATTACTTCATCCAGACTGGTGTGTTTGCAGGGGCTACTCATTCTTATAGTCTTTAGAATTTCCACTTTCTGTAGAGCTAACAAAAATCTTGTCATTCACAGCAATGGGAATAAAGATCATCTCCAGGCAAAGCCTTAATCTCAAAGACAAATGGTGAATTAAAAACAAATGAGTCCTTTTCTGGATTTAAGACTGAGTAACATGAAATAAGGGTTAAGATATTCTTTGATGTTAACATTCTTATTTAACTTAATTTTTACCCTTCCCTTCTACATGTTGATTTTATAAGGACAACTCCAACTTAGTCAGTAGAAATAAATATCTCTAAAGCAGGGTTTCTCAATCTGGCATTACTGACATTTGGGGCTAGATAATTCTTTGCGGAGGGACCTGTCCTGTGCATTGAAGGATATTTAGCAGCATCCTTGGCCTCTACTTAGCAGGTATCAGTAGCACCTTCCCCCACATTAACAATGAAAAACGTCTCCAGATATTGCCAAATGTCCCCTGGGAGGCAAAATCACCCCGAATGGAGAATCACTGCAAAATCACTGTAAAAAAAAGCAGCAGGGTGGAAAATAATGATGCTAATGAAAGGTTACTGTCCAGTTTTTTCTTAAAAGCTAGACAAGTGAAATAGTGGGAGTGGATAAGGAACAAAGAAATCTGTAACTGGTTGTGATCAATCAGTTGTAAACACCACTGCACTTGGACCAGCCAGGTTATCATCTATTTTAGGAGCATTGTTCAGATCCTGTGCTAAGTGCTTTACATCCTAACCTCATGGGGTGGATTTATTTATTTATTTTTTTTGAGACAGGGCCTCATTCTATAGCCAGGGCTAGAGTGCAGTGGCGTCATCGCAGCTCACTGCAACCTCAAACTCCTGGGCTCAAGCGATCCTCCTGCCTCAGCCTCCTGAGTAGCTGGAACTACAGGCACGTACCACCAGACCAGCTAATTTTTTTTGTATTTTTTTTACAGATGGGGGTCTCACTCTTGCTCAGGCTGGTCTTGAACTCCTGGCCTCAAGCAATCCTCCCACCTCGGCCTCCCAAATTGCTAGGATTACAGGTGGGAGCCACCACGCCTGGCCTCATGAGGTAGATTTTAACCCTCATTTCTCAGATGAGAAAAGGGAGGCTCAGAGAGACTAAGTGACTTGCCCAAGGTCATCAGGCCAGTAGATGACTGAGCTGGGACCCAGATCTAGGTATCTTTTGACTCTAACAAGCATGTTCCCAACCAATACACTACATAAAACTATATAGGGCTTTTAAAGCTCTGTTTACTGACATGCTTCACAGGTACTACCTTTTGGGTCCAGGCCCTTTACTTAGACCAAATTCCCAAGAGAGCAGAACTGCCTTGTCAGGGAAGGATTCTTCTGAGGGTATTATAATGGAACGGGCAGGAAGAACTTTAGGTCTATACAGCACTTTTTATACTGTAGGCATTTACCAATAATGGAAACCTGTTTGAGGTATAGGCAGGGGTTTAGATTGAGATTTTAATAAAATAGAAAAGAACAGTTTGAAAGAGTTTCAAATAAAATAATAACTTAATAATTAAGTTTAAATTAATAAACCATAACTTTCACAAAAAAGCTTTTTTTCTATTTAAGAAATTCATTTGAAAAATATTTGTTGAACACCTATTATAAGGGGCTGGGAACTATGTAAGACACTAGGGATACAGACAAGAATAATAAGATGGTCTGCTCTTGGGCTCACAGTCTAGTGAAGAAGGCAAACATAAAGAAATCATTATAATACAATAGGATACATGCTAGAGGGAAGGTACAGAACAATTGCACAGAGGAAAGAGCAACTAATTCTGCCCGAAGGTCCCAAGAAAGAGATGGCACTTGATTTTGAAGTTTAAGGATGAGTGACATTTTAGCACTGTAGAGGTAGCATAAGAGCATTCCAGGCAGGTATAACAGCCTGCGCAAAGGCATGGAGGTAAAAAAAAGAGCATGGTTGGTTCAGACAATGGTGCTGAAAGGTAGAGAGAGGCCGACTTGTAAAGGGTCTTGTACGCCACACTAGGAAGTTTGGACTTTATCCTGTAGGCAATGGGAAAGCTTCGAGCCCGTATCTCTCCATCTTGTTCACAACGATATCATAAGAGGCTCTGTTAAATCCCTTGCTGAAATCCAGTTACATTATGTCTAAGGCACTTCCCTGGTCTTCCAGTCTAGCAGCCCTAACCAAAAAAAGAAATGAAATTAGTTAATTGTTACTCTTTCTCTCTTTCTTTTTTTTTGAGATAGTCTCTGTTGCCCTGGGTAGAGTGCAGTGGTGTCGTCATAGCTCACTGCAACCTCAAACTCCTGGGCTCAAGTAATCCTGCCTCAACCTCTTGAGTAGCTGGGACTACAGGCATGAGACATGCCTGGCTAACTTTTCTATTTTAAGTAGAGATGGGGTTTCACTCTTGCTCAAGCTGGTCTCAAACTCCTCAACTCAAGCAATCCTCCCAACTTGGCCTCCCAGAGTGCTAGGATTACAGGCGTGAGCCACCTGCCTGGCCCTGTTATTATTTCTTAGTAAATCTATGATGGCTTTTAATGATCCCCACTTTTCCTCCATGGGCTCACAAATGATCTAATAATTTGCTTTAGAAATTTGTCAGGATTTATCATGAAGGGGATAGGGGACAGAATGCACATTTTTGAAAATTGGGATATTGAACCTCTCTAGTATTTTTGCATCTCCTCCATGCTTTAGAACGTTTCACTTTAATGCCAGGGTAAGTGGTTCCATAATCTCACTTGCAAATATATCCAATGTCCTCCTTGGGCCCACCAACTTGAATCCATTGAAAATTGCTTAAGTGCTCTCATATCATCCCAATCATATCCAGCTTGAATTTTCACTTTTATAGCAAATTTTCACTTTTTATAATAATCACATCCAGCTTGAATTTTCACTTTTATAACACATTTCACTTTTATAATATAAGTTTATTATAAAACAGTTAGAAAATGGAAAAGCCATATAGAAGAAAATAAAATTCATCTATAGCTCTACCAGCCCCCAGGGATGACCACTTACAATATTTTGGTACATTTCTTTCTAGATTTGTTTCTATGTGCATGTTTATTATATTTCATCAAATCTAAGATGCTATCAACTGTAAGCTGTACATTATTTTACACGATTTAAGACAGAAAAAAAAGTGCCACTTATATAAGATACTACCAGTTGTAAGATGTACCTCAATTTCAGAGATACTAAAATGTAAAAAAAAATATAGTTGATGGAATACAGCATATTTACCATTTTATAAAAGTTGAAGTATTCCCTATATATGCTACTTCATAAACTGCTTTTATTCACTTACTATATTACAGATTTCTTGGCTGCACAGTACATAGCACAGACACGCTGTAATTTATTTAGGCAATTATAACATTTAGGTTGTTTATAAATTTTTACTCTGATAAGCAATCCCATGTTCACCATTTTTATGCTTACATGTTTGGCACCTGTAAGATGATTTACGTAGGGGAAATTACGAGAAGTAGAATTACTGGTATATTTTTAAATTTTTTTTATTTCAAAAGATTGGGGAGGGGTACAAATGTTTTTGCTACCTGGATACCTTCTAGAATGCTTAAGTCAGAGCTTTTAGTGTGCTCTGAATAGTGTTCGTTGTATCCGACAGGTAATTTTTGACCCCTTATCTCCTCCTCCCTGCCTTCTTGGTTTCCAGCATCCTTTATATCCATTTGTGCTTGTGTATGCTCATCGTTTGGATCCCAATTATTAGACAGTATATGTGGTGTTTGTTTTTCCATTCCTGAGATACTTCATTTAGGATAATGGTCTCCAGTTCCACCCAAGTTGCTGCAAAAGACATTATTTCATTCCTTTTTATGGCTGAGTAATACTCCATGGTACATTTTCTTTATCCACTCATGAATTGATGGGCACTTAGTTGATTCCACATCTTTGCAATTGTGTAGTGTGCTACAATAAACATTTGAGTACAGGTGTCTTTTTTAATAAAATGACTTATTTTCCTATGGGTAGATACCCAGTAATGGCATTGCTGGATCAAATGGTAGGTCGGATTTTAGTTCTTTGAGGAACCTCCATACAGCTTCCCACAGAGGTTGTACTAATTTGCAGTCCTGCCAACAGTGTGTAAGCATTCCTTTCTCTCTACATCCATGTCAGCATCTATCATTTTTTGACTTTTTAATAATGGCCATTCTGACAGGAGTAAGGCGGTATCTCATTGTGGTTTTAATTTGCATTTCCCTGGGTGATTAGTGATGTTGAACTTTTTTTTATATGTTTCTTAGCCATTTCTCTATTTTCTTTTCTTTCTTTCTTTCTTTCTTTTTTTTTTTTTGAGATGAGGTCTTGCTCTGTTGCCCAGACTGGAGTGCTGTGGTGCAATCATCACTCACTGCAATGGCCTATTCCTGGGCTCAAGGGATCCTTCTGCCTCAGCTTCTCGAGTAACTGGGACTACAGGCACGTGCCATAATGCTTGGCTAATTAAAAACAAATTTTTTTGTAGAGATGAAGTCTTGTTATATTGCCTGGGCTGGTCTTGAACTCCTGGGCTCAAGAGATCCTCCTGCCTTGGCCTCCCAAACTGCTGGGATTACAGGCATGAGCCACCATGCCTGGTGTTATTTTCTTTTGAAAAACTTCTGTCCATGTCTTTTGCCTACTTTTTAACTGGGTTATTTGTTTTTTCTTGCTGATATGAGTTCTTTGTAGATTCTGGATATTAGCTGTTTGTTGGATGTACAGTTTGTGAATATTTTCTCCTATTCTGTAGGTTGTCTGTTTATTCTGCTGATAATTTCCTTTGCCATCCAGAAGCTTTTAAATTGAATTAAGTCCCATTTATTTATTTTTGTTATTGCAATATTTGCTTTTGGGGTCTTAGTCATAAACTCTTTGCTTAGGCAGATATCCAGAAGTTTTTCCAATATTTTCTTCTGGCATTCTTATGGTTTAATGCCTTACATTTAAGTCTTTTATCCATCTTGAATTAATTTTTGTATATGGTGAGACACAGGGGTCCTGTTTCATTCTTCTGCATGTGGCTATCCAGTTTTCCCAGTAACATTTATTGAATAGGGGTTCCTTTCCCCAGTGTATGCTGTTGTCTGCTTTGTCAAAGATCAGTTGGTTTTAAGTAGTTTTTTTTCTGGGTTCTCTATTTTGTTCCATTGGTCTATGTCTCGACTTTTATACCAGTACCATGCTGTTTTGGTTAATAATGCCTTGTAGTATAATTTGAAGTCAGGTAATGTGATGTCTCCAGATTTATTCTTTTTGGTTAAGATTGCTTTTGCTATTCAGGCTCTTTTTTGGTTTCAAACGAAGCTTAGAATTATTTTTTCTAGATCTGCGAAATATGATGCTGGTATTTTGATGGAGATTGTGTTGAATGTATAAATCACTTTGGGCCACATGGACATTTTAACAACGTTGATTCTATCAATCCCATGAGCATGGGATGTTTTCCAATTTGTTTGTATCATCTATGATTTCTTTCATCAGTAGCTCCCCTTGTAGAGATCTTTCACCTCCTTCGTTAAGTGTATTCCCAGGTGTTTTATTTTCTTTGTAGGTATTTAGATGGTATTGAGTCCTTGATTTGCCTGTTTGCTTGACGAGGATTAGAATATAGAAACACTACTGATTTGTGTGATTGATTTTGTAACCTGAGACTTTGCTAAATTTACTTATCAATTCTAGGAGTCTTTTAGCAGAGTCTTTAGGGTTTTCTCAGTATAAGTTAGTATCATCAGCAAACGGGGATAGCTTAACCTCCTCTTTCCCAATTAGGATATTTCTTTCTCCTGCCTGCTTGCTCTGGCTAGGACTTCCAGTACTACATTGAATAGAAGTGGTGACAGTGGGCACCCTGTCTTGTTTCAGTTCTTAGGCAGGATGCTTTCAAGTTTTCCCCATTTAGTATGATGTTGGTTGTGGGTTTCTCATATATGGCTTTTATAATTTTGAGGTATGTTCCTTCTATGCCTAGTTTGTTGAGGGTTTTTATCAATAAAGAGTGCTGGATTTTACTGAATGCTTTTTCTGCATCTACTGAGATGATCATGTGGTCTTTGTTTTTGCTTCTGTTTATGTGGTGAATCACATTTCTTGACTTGTGTATGTTAAAGCAGCCTTGAATCCCTGGGATGAAACCTACTTGATCATAGTGAATTATCTTTTTGAGTGTTGTTGTATTGTTTGTTAGTATTTTGTTGACGATTTTTGTATCTATGTTCATGAGAGATATTGGTCTGTAGTTTTTTTTGTTGTATCCTTTCCTGGCTTCAGTATAATGGTGATATTGGCTTCATAGAATGAGTTAGGGAGGATTCCCTCCTTCTTGATGTTATGGAATAATTTCTGTAGGATAGGTACCAGTTCTTCTTTGTAGGTCTAGTAGAATTTGGCTGTGAACCCATCTGGTCCGGGGCATTTTTTTTGTTGGTAGATTTTTTTATTACTGCTTCAATCTCACTGCTTATTATTGGTCTATTCAGGATTTCTATTTCTTTCTGATTCAGGCTTGAGAAGTTGTATGTTTTTCAGGAATTTATCCATTTCTTCTGTTTTGTCGTTTGTGTGTGTAGAGATTTTTTGTAGTATTCATGGATAATATTTTGTATTTCTGTAGAATCAGTTGTAATGTCTCTCTTTTCACTTCTCATTGAGCTTATCTGGGTCCTTTCTCTTCTATTTCTGGTTAATCTAGCTTGTGGTCTATCGACCTTGCTAGTGAGGCAGAACATTTTCTCATGTTTAGTGGCCATTTGTGTGTGTATATGTGTGTGTATTTGGTGGATGCCTATGTACTCTACACCTATTTTATTGAAATACCGTATTTTTCATACTGATTTGTAGATGTTCTTTAAATGGTAATGATACCCTTTACCATATATTCTGTAAATCTATATAAATATTCAGCAAAAAATACTTTTGTCTTTTTATTTTGTGGTGCTCCCTGGTGCTGGAATTATTATTTTCTTTCTGTCTTAGAAAATCCTTCTCCATAAATCTAGTAAATATTCATCTAGATTTTCTTCCTTCATGACTTATAATGTATAATGTTTGATCTATTAGGATTTTCATTTCCATAATGTTTTATACTTTGGACATGTTTTTCACTGATACAGAAGAAAGATCTAATAGAGAAAGTGTTGCCTTCCTTTTGTAATTTTAACACATGCTAGTTTCCTTAAACAGTAGAGCTAATTCAAGCTTTTAACTTCAGTCATGACAAAATGTCCTCCTTGGTGTCCTTAACTTTTTCACAAGTCACAGTGCATTCCGGGATTTAGTTAAGCTGACCCCATTCTTTACATTTTAAAGTGCCCTTTGCTTTTAGCTTTGGTTAAGTACTCATACCAAATTAAATAACACATATTTTAATGAAGTTACTTCAAATTTTTAGTCTAAGATAGTAAAAATACCCTTTAAAAAGGAGATAAATTTGTTTGAAAGAAATTCTATCACCACTGTTTAATTGCCGGAAAGAAAGTCAACTGGATGCATGGCAATGTCCTCTAACCCGGAGCCCAGAGACAGAATTTAGGACAAGTATGAATTCCTGAAAGTACATGCCAAACTTTGACACATGCGTGTTTTTTTCTGGGGAGCAATTACACAGCATTCATCCAATACTTAAGGAGATATCTGACACATACAAAACACTACTAGATAGTTAAAATTTACTGAGCCCTATGTGCCCAGTACATTTAAAGCACTTTACATGCATAAGACATATAATCCCCATGACTTCCTATAAAGTAGATGCGTTTATGATCCCTATTTTACAGGTAAGGAGAATGAGGCACAGGGAGATAAATGGCAGAGCTGGTGGTAGAACCCAGGGAGTATGTCTCGACCCGCACTTTTACATATTACACTGGACTGCCTAGTTAAGAATCAATAGGATATTTAAGCTTAAGGTGATAAGAATATAAGCCAAATAGTCGATGGTTTTTTAAAAAAAAAAAGTCAAGTAAATGTTGAAATAAACTTTTTATATCAATGACTGATTTTTTGTTCACTTTGCCTTTTATCTTCTCATCTGAACTACTTCAAGTCACAAATACATACTCTGTGAATTAATGAAATCTAAAAGAAACTGGTACAGTAAACACTCAAATTTACCTTGTGGCCCAGGAGATGCCACTTTTGGGCCAGTGATCTCCAGGTTTGCTTGGTGATGATGTCCATTTTCTGCCTGATTTGATTCTGCCTTTTTCCCAGGAGTTTTCTTATGATCTCCTTTGGGTTTCTTTACACGTTTGACCTGGAACGTGATCTGGAAAACAGAAACATGTTAGGGATAAATGAGACCAATTATCAAATATGTCAATGACTATGAATATCAGTGGCTTTAAGAATAACCCAGTCCAGTGCTAGGGTTAAGTTATCTTCTTCACTTTAATTTTTAAAGGTCTAAATGAAAAATGGTTAGTGAAACAAACAAAATAATCTAGCCTTGAAGAGTATACAGAAGAAACTGAAAAGAAAGATGTCTGAATTGGGCAGTTCCAAGTCTGTAGGCTTTGACTGTGGCTTCACACCCATCCCATTTCCTTCCACGTCCCAGAAGAGCTAGCAATGCGTAAGTGACATGAAATGGTTCCTGCAGTACAATTCCAATATGGAGGCTGTATTGAAGTATGGAGTAAAGTAGTGCTGTATACCCAACAGAAACTTCACACTTTGCAAATGAGGAGTCCCCCAAAAGACCTGGGCTACAATTTCATGAGAATTAAGCTGATAAACTCTCACCCATTCTGTTGCTTCATCATCTTCACTTTTGCAGTCTCCATAGCAAGAACTTTTGGCCACTCCATCCTGGGGACCTTTTTTTAGCACCCTTATCCCCTGCAAATCTAGACGCCGTCCTTTCATCTCTAGTGCACTCCCAAAGCCTTCCAAAGGCCAGGCTTGTTGAAATTCATCCACCAAAGCCAGTATCTCTTCTGACATCTTTGTTTCATCCGAATTCTCCATCTCATCAGAACCATTACTCTCCTCAACCACTGTACCTGAAATTCAAGAGCCAGCATGTTATTAAAAGTTACATAGTACTCATTCAAGTACTTTAGTGATTCCAACCCTATTTTCAAAGAAAAGTTTTGGCTCTGCTTTGAGGCACTTCTACAACGCAACATCACAAAAATACCATTCAGTATTTTCAAAATTTGTAATAAAATATCATCTTTGTCATCTCACTTTTCCTAACAGCCTGACTGAGAACAATGGCAGCAGCTAGAAGGCAGGCAGCACAGATTAGTAATGAGCACGAAGACAGCTATGCTATGTATTATTTTTTGAAAGAAGATCCACTTGCTCTACATAAGATATAGATGGCAAGGATGAAGTTTATTATGGTATGTTATTTAATATGTGAGATTCTTCAGGCTTTATTCAAATATCATGAAATATCATAGCTGCATGTCCAAACCATACAGTTGGCTTAATTGCCTTAACTAAACAATGATTTATTTAATGGAAAACCATCCTAATTCCACATAAGGCTCCCATTTTCACTAATGGCTGATATAAGAAACAGCAATATACTGATTTCTTCCTAAAATGGTTACCAAGATATTATTTATGTTGCTCAAGTCTCTTATATAAAGACTCCCATGGATGTCTCTCAGCACAATGACCTAGTAAAAAGTCTCTCTCCTGAGAACTCATTATATTTGTTTCCTTTATTATCCAATGAAGGCTACACAACCCTCTACGTTCCCCTCTATGCTTGGATAACAAGGAAACTCAGAGTGAAATTAGCCTGAGTCTCTTAATAGAATGCTTTCTTTACTGCTTACCTTTTCCTGTTTATTTCGAATGGCTGCATCTTACACTGTGTGTTCCATGAAAGTCATCTCTAGTCTTTTATGGAAGTAGAACAGGGTACAAAAACAAAATAACAAAATGCCTCCTTTTGTAACATGTACCCACTGGACAACCTGAGATCTCTGGGTTGATTGCTCACAAAATGCCAGTCTGTTACTCCGGCGCAGTAATCTTCAATTGGTGATTCTGGCTTGTTCAAGGATTTAGTACATGGTATTACAGTTGTGCCACATAACAAAGTTTTGGTCAACGATAACATGCATATACAACAGTGGTCCCATAAATTATAACAGCATATTTTTTTAGTGTACCTTTTTTATGTTTAGATACACAAATACCCTTGTGTTATAATTGCCTATAGCTGTGGTCCCCAACCCCCAGTCTGCAGACCAGTACTGGTCTGTGGCCTATTAGGGACCAGGCTGCAGAGCTTCATTGCCCTCCCTGCCCCTGCAATCCCATCTGTGGGAAAACTGTCTTCCATGAAAGTTAGGAAAGGGGGGTGCAGTGCACAGCCAGAGGTGAGCAGCAGGTGAGCAAGCAAAGCTTCATCTGTATTTACAGCTGCTCCCTATTGCTCATATCACTCCCTGAGCAAGAGCTCCTCCTCCCCCCGCCCCACCTGCCCACCGTCCATGGAAAAATTGTCTTCCATAGAACCAGTACCTGGTGCCAAAAAGGTCGGGGACTGCTGGCCTATAGTATTCAGTATAATAACACGCTATATAGGATTTTAGCCTGGGAGCAATAGGCTATATCATGTAGCCTAAGTGTGTAGTAGGCTATACCATCTAGGTTTATGTAAGTATACTCTATGATGTTCGTACAATGATGAAATCACCTAATGACTCCATTTCTTAGAATATATCCACATTGTTAAGTGATATATGAATGTAATAAGGCCAATGTTAGGACTCTCATATTCATACTGACCTATAGCCACAGTGAGCAATCCATCTTAGAAATGCACAGCATTAGTCTCTTAAGAGGCGTGGGATGAGAAAGGCGGCTTATTACCAGAGCTAAAAAGAATCTAAGCTTTGAGCCATACTCACAGAAGGTCAGCAGCATCACCCTCAGCTCTGGTGGCATCTCTACCTCCCATCACACTTTCTATCATATCACACTTTCTATTCTATTCTATTCTGCTGTCAGGCAGGGGGTCCTACTGGAAAACTCTAAGTGTTATTCTTTCTTGAAAAAGCTATAGGGTTCATCCATTTGTTAACAAGTGACTACCAAATGTACTGCTGTCTTTTTAAGTAAGTTCCTTTTAGGTTTTCTAAACCTAAAAGGTTTCTACTGCTGGTTTCTACTGCTTTCTATTATTATTGTTATTATTTTTTAATTAAGTTCTGAAACAGCCCTAGGGAAAAAAGGCTAATTTGGGAGTTACATACATCGTAGTCACTAGGGAGCTGTATTGTTTTGGAATAGAAACTGTTTCTATAAATGCAATAAAATATCCCCTAACATTACTGTTTCATTTCTGTTCATTCTGAGTTCACCAAGGAACCTCATGATGTTCATTTAGTGTGTGGGTACCTTGATGTCACTATGAGAAAGGAGGCTGCCAGGCACCAGAGAGGAGTGTAGCCCCCATTGTAAATGAACAAACTGGCCATTGAGTTTAAGTCTTAAATCTCTTTTGAATTGGGGAATGGGAATTAGTGTCCTTAAAAACCAATTTCTGGTAGAACTGATGAAACTAATTTTCTTTTTCTTTTTTTTTGAGATGGGGTCTCACTCTGTCACTCAAGTTGGAGCACAGTGATATGAACAGAGCTCACTGTAACCTTGAACTCCTATGCTCAAGTGATCTTCCTGCCTCAGCCTCTCAAAAAGCTGGGACCATAGGTGCGTACCACCACACCTGGCTAATTAAAAAAACATTTTTTAGAGATGGGGTCTGGCTATGTTGCCCAGGTTGGTCTCAAACTCCAAGCCTCAAGTGATCCTCCTGCCTCAGCCTCCTGAGTAGCTGGGATTACAGTCACAAGCCTGTACTGATGAAACTAATTTTCTAAAGCTGCGAAGGTGAAAGTCACAATTTCCACTTTGAAGTCTAGCTTGCTTCTCTTAGATATAATTTTTATACACAATACCTTTAGAAGGAAAGACAAATGTCTGTAATAGCTAAGTATGTTGATCTAACCTATATAGGAAGGCAAATGCCACATTGCATTAACAAATATTTACATAAAAAATACAAAGTTACATAGGGCACAGTACGGAAAAAGCTTATAGTCTGATGGGAGACATGATATACAGGCAATTAATAGTGGATGAAATGTGCCTTGACAAAAAGCAGGAACAAGACAGTAGATGGGGCACCAAAATACTTAGAAACCTCTGCGAAAGCTTTGCTCTAGAGGTGACATTTGAGCTGGATCTTGGATATTTGCAGGAGCTGTCGACATAAAGCAGAGTATTTAGGGGCCATTCCTACCCTGTACAAAAAACATGGAGGCTCAAAACAGCATGGCATGAGAGGGGATTGGTGAAAGGTTTGTATTTGCTGATATGTAGATAACTAGTAGTTGGTATAGTTGGAGAGGGAATGGAGCCAAATTGCCTCATATCCCACACTAAGAGATCTGGATTCTTCCAACAGGTAATAGAGGGACACTGAAAATTTTAAACCAGCCAACTTACCTGATCAGATCTGCATTTTAGAAATAAATCTTTGGACAAATGCCAATAGTGGTTACTTCTGCTTTTTAAACTCTGTATCAATTACATGTATGATCTCTCTCACCTCTTTCTCTCTCTCTCTCTCTCTCTCTCCTTCCCCCCACCCCACACACACATAGACACATCATTTAAAGTAAAAGATTAGATTTAGGGAACCAAATTTAGAGGCTACTGCAATAGTGCAGGAAGAAATGAAGAAAGCCTGAATTCAGTCAGTGGCAGAGGGAATAGACAAAGAGATGATAGATTCAACAGGTTTTAGAGATTGATTAGATATAGTAGTGCCTGGGTGAGTTGTGATGCCATTAACAGAGATCAGTAATACAGGAATTAGAAGGATTTCAGGAAATAGGGCAAATATGAAAAGTTCAGTTTTGGATATGTTAAATTTAAAGTGCCTGTGTCATATCCAGATCAAGACTACACTAAACAAAGTGGAAATAAGATCTGGAGTTGTAGAGAGTGCCTTAGATGAAGATATGGATTTGGAGTCACTGATGAAGTCAAAGGTATCTGAATCCCCAAGAGATAACCCAGAGAGGGATGAGAAAAGAAGACCACAGTTACGATCCTGAGTAACCTAACGAATATAGGACAGAATAAAGAATAAGTTAAAGAAACTTTACAAGATGGCCTGAGGACAGGAGAAAGCCAAGAGCAAGTGATATTCTAGAAGCCAAGAGGAAAGGAGAGAGTTTCAAGAAGTGGGGAGCTGTGCATTACATGCATCGTTCCAAATGCAGTAAAGTGGTTAAGTAGGATAAATACTAAAAAGAAGTCATTAAATTCAGTCAATTCTAAATTGACTGATAATCTTAGCAAGAAATGTTCAGTACAGCATAGCTCAAAATGTGGTCATAAAATGGAATCTTAGGAGAGGGCCTAGTAGGTACACCCATTATTCCAACTCTTCCCATTTTATTGGGTTAGTGTAAATACAATTTATTTTCCTTTTTTCAATGACTTACTCAACAGAGTAGCGATATTGAGAAGAAAGACTGGTACATAACAAACCAAATTTTTTTCTAGCAAAAGACACTGAAGTAGAGTAAAAAGAAAGTGTGAAGAGCACTTTCACATTATAGCTTATCTTCTGCCTTACCACTTATCACCTAAGGGTCACCCTCATGACTCCACAACACAATGAGTGACTGGATTTTTTTTGGTTTTTCTGATACAGGGTCTCGCTCTGTTACCCAGGAGAGAGTGCAGTGGCATCATCATAGCTTGCTGCAACCTCAAACTCCTGGGCTCAAGCAGTCCTCCTCCCTCAGCCTCCCAAAGTGCTAGGATTTCATGCATGAGCTACTGTGCCTGGCCAATGAGTGACTGTTAAAAGAAGGAAACAAACTCCTGAAAGCTGAGAAAGCCTAAGCTTAAAGCTTGAGAGTTGATTTTTCCCCAGAAGCACAGCTCAGGTCAAATCAACTTACTTTCAAGTCTAAGGGCATCTGAGTCCCTCCCTGAATGTTCAACAGAGAGTACAGGG